GGAATCATTTTACACGTCAGTCAGGATAGGTAATAATACAGGGAGAGGTCTAGTCTGTCTCACAGTCCCTGAACCACATTAATTTCCCTACTGCCAAGCCTTCTCTGCAGTGCTAAAGCCCTAAATAAAGCAAGTCTAGATTTCCTCAGGTTCTGAATCTCTGGTCTCCCTAGGGCTGCTTTTCAATATAAATGGGCTTGTTTGGTACTATCAAAATTATATATATTCAGAGACTAAGCCTTAGTCTAGGAGAGGTCAAGTCACAATCTGAAAGCCAGGACCCCAAAGCTTGGGTCTATTCTGGTCTCTTACATCTCTTTAGCCGTTAATATAGTCTACATAATGTCACAGAAATATACCGTAAATGATGTGATTAGGTATGTTTGAGCTGGTCGATTCAAAAGTTTTCAGCACAGACTTATAATTGCAAGTTCTTCAAGCCCTCATATATTAATTTGTCTTTTTCATCATGGCATACAGGAATAGATATCAGGACAAGAAATAGTATGTGTTTTCCTTTTAACTCCATCAAGCCAAATACTTTTAAAATACATCTTGTTCACCTTGACCTGATCAAGTGAATACTAATGAATTGCGTGACCGTGTCACAGCTGGTTGGGTCTATTATTGGGAAGGGGTGCGCCTTTGTTTTTGAGACAAGGTCGCCGTTTCACATCTCAGTGTCGAGAAATCGTCAGCAATATCCTAACTTTCTTTAAAAATGAAGCTACAAACATATTGCAGTTGAACATGAAATAGAAAAAAGTGATAATTGAACTGGGTGTTGAGAGTGACAGCGAGAGTGAATTGGATTGTGAAAGCAACTGACGTCTGTACGTTGTAAAGTTAGTAAACCAAACTAGATAGCATATGACTGTCTAAACAACTCAATTTAAACATGAAATGATTGATTTTTTCAGAAGTGTTGTTTTGTAACAAATCCATGCATGCATGTTTTGCACGAATGCAACATTAAGTCGACCTGCCGTTTGTGCCATTTGACCTCCCGGGTCATGCATATGTAGAGTAGCTCAGGTCAAGCTGAACGAGCTGTACAATAGTAATAGAGTGAGTGAGTGAGTATTTTATGTTTTCAGCAATATTCTAGCAATACAACTGTGGGAGGACACCAGGGCTTCACACATTGTACCCATGTGGGGAATCGAACCCGGGCCTTTGGTGTGGCAAGTGAACGCTTTTAACACTAGCCTACCCACTGCCCCGAATAGTAATAGAGTGACTGAATATAGTTTTCTACAACTCGACTATTTAGGGGCGGTGGGGGTAGCCTAGTGGCTAAAGCGTTTGCTCGTCGTGCCGAAGACCCGGGTTCGATTCCCCACATGGGTACAATACAGCCCATTTCTGGTGTCCCCCCGCCGTGACATTGCTGGAATATTGCTAAAAGCGGCGTAAAACCATACTCACTCACTCGATTATTTACAGACCGCTGTCATATAGCTGGAATATAGCTGAGTGTGACTTTAAACAACAACCAATCAATGGATATCCATCCACATACACCTCCAGCTGTATCAACTACTTCCCATCTATCTCAGAGCATGCAATCCATCTCTTGTCTTCCTGAGCTTCATTATCTAACTACATGAAGTAGAACAAATGTCCCTGACTTCAGCGTCTGCAACAACTAGCATCATTACATAGTAACTACATCATCCCGGACATCGGAGACAGAGATAAATAAGTATGTACAGCAGTCTGGGAATGAAATGGTCTTCTATAACATGACACTCACATATACAACTTGCCTGACCATCATTACATGTAAACCAAAAATCTATTTGTAAAAATGTATTGTGAAAAGTTCTATAAGTGAAATGACATGTTGTTATACATTAATGTTAAATATTTGAATACTTGAAGAGGATTAAATATGTTGTATAAGAAATATATATGATAAATATTTGAATATTTGAAGGGGAATGAACTATGTTGTGTCGGATAAACCCGGAATTTCTTAAATATTTGAATCTTTGAAGAGGATTAAATATGTTGTATCAGTGAGTGAGTGAGTGAGTGAGTAGGGTCTTACACCGCTTTTAGCAATATTCCACCAATATCACGGCGGGGGACACCAGAAATGGGCTTCACACATTGTACCCATGTGGGGAATCGAACCCGGGTCTTCGCCGTGACGAGCTTACACTTTAACCACTAGGCTACCCCAACACCTCGTGTTGTATCAGATAAAATATATATATTTATATTTCATCTGATACAAATGATTTAATCCACTTCAAATATTCAAATACTTAAATTCAAATATATCATTATTCAGTTTCGTTGGTAAAAGCATTTTTCAGTTAAAAATATCATCTTCAAAATAAAAAATGGGTTGGTATATTAATTCTTAACAAGAAGATATGTCCATCCCCTAACCATAACACACTCACCTGTAAAAGGAATGAGTTTGCCTATCTTTCGACTTCCTGCCGGGAAACTAGCCTTGCATCAATTTATATTGGTTTTGATTATTTTGTTTTGGTTTCCTACTAAAAGCTGAGGCAAATCACGATCAGACAAAACCAACTAGAGTTCCTTTGATTTTACATGTATGAGTGAGTGAGTTTAGTTTTATGCCAGATGGGCTTCACGTATTGAGCCCTTTTACATGTTTGAAACCAGCATGAAATAAAGGCACTGACAGAACAATAATTTTTTAAATACGTTTCCACAGACTGAGTGTGAGATCAGGTAGACACTGTCAGTGGTTTTCTATAATATACTATAGACAATAAGCAAAGTGAATATCAAACCAGTTACTCATTGTGACCAGTGAATGCCAACAGAGATGGAAATAACCCATTGCCCGACGTCCGAGACCAGTGTTTTTTTCTGTCGGGCAAGCAAATTTGTATATCACACTGTACCGGTGTCCAGTTGACTTTCCAATGGTAATTATGTTGTTTATTTAAAAAATCAGCAAGAAAACGGTCGGTATAGTGGAAAAATTATCAGGGCAATTGACTTTACATGTGCCACTGTACTGGAGTACACTATCAATTTTAAAGTTATTTCCACCCCTGCTTAACCACAGGACCACCCAACCATCCCTGAAGGACACCATTATATAACAGGGATACACAATACCATCACACTGATACAAGCCCTAAGTTTCTGCAGAGTGCAACAAAATGTTTCAAAAGAACATGTTAATCACATTTTTTTAAATAAACAAAATAGGCCGAAGGAGACCCCTGCAAGTCATTTCCTGCTATTCCACAGCTAATTTTAGACAAGTAAAATAAAATAACCCCATTTAGGCAGAAAATAACTAGCCCATCTAGATTTTCACTGGACTCCGATAAACAGACAAGTGGCCACGTTTAAACATGCAAAGATTGCAGTTGGAAAATATTAGTATTTCCGCATTACTTCAGTTTGAATCACAAGCTGCAGCTTCACCTGAGTGTAATTTCGGCTGAAGTCTGAAGGTAAATTAACTACGCAGTGTACAGAGAGGAAACAGCGAGGAAACAGCAAGGAAGCAGCGAGCGGCTAACAAGCATACCTCCGAGATGTGCCCTGCTTGAAGACAGGATACAGGAAGTCAGCTCAATTAACCACCAAGAACACAGATGCAAATCCACCGTAAGATCCCTGTCTACTAAATAATATACATTCCTTGAACATCCTCTGGATAACAGAATACATCTGGGATCATTTCATATGGTCCCAATGGAAAATAATCACTGATATTTATAATTCATTCACATTAAGCTAAAAACATCCATCTTTAGTAATTTGTCCTTGATCAATTTTCCATTTTTGGAGTCAATGGGGGCTCAAATTATTCGAAAATTACAGTTATTAAATAAATCCAGTATCATTTATCCATAATTTCTAACAAAAGAAACAAATCATAAAACATCATTAAAAGAAACTACAAATTGCATGTTAAACGCAAACAAGTTCTACCGGACAGGATTCCATGTCAAGTTTCTAATAAAACACTCAAATGTCACTGCCATTTTAAACTATAAATACTTCAATGATACTGCCATTTTAAACTATAAATACTTCAATAGCACTGCCATTTTAAACTATAAATACTTCAATGACACTTCCATTTTAAACTATAAATACTTCAATGACATTGTGATTTTAACTATGAATACTTCAATGATACTGCCATTTTAAACTATAAATATATCAATGTCACTGCCATTTTAAACTATGAATACTTCAATGATACTGCCATTTTAAACTATAAATATATCAATGACACTGCCATTTTAAACTATAAATACATCAATGACACTGCTATTTTAAACTGAATACTTCAATGATACTGCCATTTTAAACTATAAATATATCAATGACACTGCAATTTTAAACTATAAATACATCAATGACACTGCCATTTTAAACTGAATACTTCAATGATACTGCCATTTAAAACTATAAATACTTCAATGACACTGCCATCTTAAACTATAAATATTTCAATGACACCGCCATTTTAAACTGAATACTTCAATGATACTGCCATTTTAAACTATAAATACTTCAATGATACTGCCATTTTAAATTATAAATACTTCAATCACACAACAAAGGGTCCATTATGTAAAATTAAATGGTAAACTGTAACATTTGAGTAAGAAATATAGGAGCGACATTATCTGAACCCACTTCAACCACAAAGAAAGAGGTTCAAACCTGCTTTCTGAATGACAATAGAAAACACACACCACTACACCAATGTCTTTCACTTAACAACATATTCTCAACCTCCACGGATACAAACTCAAACAAAAAGGCAGATACAAAGGTCATTGTACAAACCAAAGTGGACAAAACGTATACAGGTTTTCAATCTCTCCAACACAGTTTCAAACACAACACCAACATCAGTTAAACAAAAAAAGACACAGATGTGCAGAGTTCAGAGAACGATCAGCTTGGAGGTCCGCTCCTTGCAAAACAAAATAATCCCCGAGCGGAACTCGACGGAACACTTCTGCGGAAAAATGTACCTGACATGATTTTGATGCCCTCAAGGTGATCTTGGTTCTGTTCCTTCATCTTCTGACAATCAGTGAGGCCAACACACGGCATTGTTTCAATCCCAGAACCTCCCAACACTAGTTTCCCAGAACAACGATCCCGGAGGTAACTCCCAACACCACCACAAGGTGATCAAATTGTAAGCTTTGCGTTCTTCAGCATTCTCAAAGATGGTTCAGCTCCACTGTTGTCTTCGATGAATTAGGATCAATTATTTCTTTCAAAAAATTGTCAATTCACAATCCAGTTTTCGGGATTCAAAGACAAATTTTCTCCACGATTATCATCACTAATTCTAATCCAATTCTTGAAAAAACTGTTTATACCAAAAACTTGTCTGTGATGTTGATCTAAATCTCACGGTCTACCCACACTAAAGGGTGTCACAAAAGAACTGAATCAAATTTTGGGTCAGAAAGTTTGTCAGAATCCTTAAGTGTTTTCTGACCAGTCTAGACTGAAAGGTATATGCTACCAAGTGGAAATCCCCCTTGCCTCTGTCATCTCCAGACCAAGGGAAATTACATAACAACTATCTCGCCCTTACACTTATCTAGATGAGATGGTTACATCAACTGACAGGAACTAAGGCTGATTTCAAACAATTTGCCGGCTGACTGTGGAGCAGGATTCTCATTAATTAAGATCTTGTTACAAACCTAAATTGTTCAAAGAAGACATTTGGCATTCTAAGACTGAAACTAGTTTTTGACTACTGAAGAAATGAACTTCTTTGAGTAAAAAGTTTGCCAAATTCCGTAATATTTGTTCAGGTGATGTTTACTATTGCACACAGGAAACTGCGCCAACATTATGTCACACATCCAATATTAAAGATAAATGACTTAGAATACTCCTTTCTTTAAAAAAAGTCACATCTGCAACACAAATCACACGAACTTTGGTCCAGGAATCAGGAAAGTTATTTTAAATCCAGGTAGTCCACCAACGTAAACAAAGATATGGATCAAAGTCAGACATCCTGAATGACGGGATCAACACATTTAAAAAAAGTTTGGTAAAGTTTCTGTAGAAGAACACCCAGCTAATCCGACATTACTCCACGGCCTGAACACCATCTACCTTCATTAGCCACCACTGATACAAACAGTGTTTTGCGCACTTGTCTGACGAGCTGTATCCACGCGAGTCTACTTCCCCCCAAACATCTCACAGGATGCGGGTAAAACTTCCTGTCTTGAGAGACGGAGCCAACTAGAGGCAAAGGCCAGATGCAAACAGTCCAGCACAGGTGGGCCCACACAATTGGACCTCCCCCTGTCCTCCCGTCTCCTCCGTCCTTATCAAGTATGCAGAAGTACTTTGTCTGTGTCTGTTGTTTTTCAGGAGATTTGATTCCCTCATTTAAAGTACAAATAACCCTGAGAAGAAAGAATACCACAGCTAGTTGCAAAATGGTCAGCATTTTTTGCATGTTTGTCCAGCAATTGTCTGGCTTCGGACAGGACTTACCAGATTATGATAACATTAAACAGACAACTTTTGGCAGCTTAAGAATATTTGCTCTACAAATTTGGGAAATATTTTCAAAGAAAATTGACAGATGAATATTAGTTTGGCACAGTTCCATATGCATTCTCTCGAGCATTCATCCAAAACAGATTTTTTTTTCCTAGATAATAATTACCCCATTTTATATGCACCTACTTCCTAAATCACAAATAATATTCATACACAACAGAATCAATTAACCAACTTCACTCCTACTCATTCTCCACTAATCCATTCCTGAAGACAAACGGCTTTCAAAAACCATTCTTCGGTAAGATTACCAGATTTTGTAACAAATAGGACTTCTAGGATGCAATCCCTGTTCAGGAGCATCAATCAGGATTCTGCCTTAAGCTACAAAACAACACGATCCTTGATTTCAAGAGTCCTTTCAGGAAATGTGACTCTTCAGTAATGATGATGTGTGAAGAACTCTAACGTAAGATTTGACAACTACTTCAATTTCACGACATTTATATTTCTTGTAAACAATTTGGTAAAATGAATAATATTTTGTATCCTGAGGGATGCAATATATACCTTTTCTGCATCCATTCTGTCCTTTATGTACTGGACCTGTACGTATCAGATGCACTTTTTTACAATCTGTATGTGTGCATCTGTTCAAATAATATCCACTGAAATCTCTCCCTACAGCAGCAACGGATCAAAGACAATCACCCAATTCCAACGTTTACCCGCACACTTTCATCCTCTCCCCTCACCTAAACTTACTACCCCCTTCCAAAAAACAAACCCCATCACCTCTCATCTCTCCCCCTCCCTCCCCATCCTACATCACCTCCCGGACCAAGCCTGACCCCTGCCCCCTACCTAAACCTCCCGCCCACCCCCACCCCAGACACACACATCTCACCCCACCAGCTCTCACCTCACCCCTACATCCAGGAAATGGATGCCATCAATGTTTATGTCATTAATCCAGGCTGTCCGTCACAATAGGTGGCAATTTCCTTACAACAGCCCTCATTACACGGCCTGTGTTCCCACCCCTTCCCCTACATCTTCCTCAGCACTGGCCCTGTCCCCCACAGGATATCCTGTGAGGCAGTGTTACACACCCTGTCAGATAAACTGATTAACAGCCTACATATCAAATCAAAGACCTCTGGCCAAATATTGAGGGATCTGATTATTGTTTGATGGGCATTCTAGAAGTTATATGTTTCATTTGTGGATCTGATTATATTCTGACAGTTTGGAGCTACTTGCGTAATCTCTTATCCGTCTTAATAGAGCAGATAATGAGCCATTAGCTCTGGCAGCCAGAAACCTGTTCACAGTGGTGTTAACACATAGAGGCACCTGTAGCCTTATCTGTGGGTATAGTCCCATCTGAGTGTCACCCAATGATCTCTGCCTTCAGGGTATAATGTACAACAGTATTAAAGCTCTTGACAAGAATCAAGTGTGAAAATACATGAGTGAGTGAGTATGGTTTTACGCCACTTTCAGCAATATTCCAGCAACATCACGGTGGGACACCAGAAATGGGTTTGCACATTTAACTCTAGTCTGTCTCACAGTCCCTGAACCACATTCATTTCCCTACTGCCAAGCCCTCTCTGCAGTGCTAAAGCCCTAAATAAAGCAAGTCTAGATTTCCTCTGAATCTTTGGTCTCCCTAGGGCTCCTTTTCAATATAAATGAGCTTGTTTGTTACTATCAAAATTATATATATTCAGAAACTAAGCCTTAGTCTAATTTAACTCATGTGGGGAATCAAACCTGGGCCTTTGGTGTGACGAGCAAACGCTTTAACCACTTATTAAGGCTACCCAACCGCCCCCAAATACATCATAAAGTCGTCTGTCGCCTCCAAGATAAGTCATAATTAAGCAGGTATATCGATATGTGAGTGAGTGAAGTTTTACACTGTTTTAGTAATATTCCATTAATGTCATGAATGAGACAACAGAAGTATATCTGAGGCTGTCATACATGTATACTTTTCAAAAGATGATGAAGAACATCTTCCAGTTCTTTCATGTTCTTATACTTAATCTTCAAATACTGATTAACCTGTGAGTGAGTGAGTGAGTGAGTGAGTGAGTGAGTGAGTGAGTGAGTGAGTGAGTGAGTGAGTGAGTGAGTGAGTGAGTGAGTGAGTGAGTAGTGAGTGAGTGAAGCCAAAGGTGATGCAAGTCAGACAGTTACCCACTTTGCTGAAACCCACAAGCCTAACAAACCTCTAGAGGAATAATCGGGGTAAACTTGCAACTCATGTTAATAGGCTTCTAGCGTGCTCAAATAACACAACTTTGCAGAGTTAAGTGCAACACCATGGACTACTTCCTCACCTAATACTATAATGATAGAAACCATTTTTCTTCAACTTTTTTCAAATTGTGTTATTTTATCACTATTTTATGCAACATTGAAACAAATTTCTTTATTTTCTTTGTTTGCAAAATTAAATCATCTAAACCATTGAATTTACTGACAGGAAGAAAACAAGATTTCAAAACTAATTAAATAAACCATCTTTTGAAAATCCAAGCCCCCCACACACCTGTCAAGTAAAAATTGAGTCATTTATGACCAAGGATTAAACACATAATCACTTGCGTCGTAGTGACATCATTAAACCTCAAACACCAATTCTAAAGATACAAAGTACTGTGCACATCACAAATGTCTGACCTGAAATGTCTGATCTCAAAATATTGATAATGTTCAACATTCAAAGTACATCAAAGTATCAACACTGATTATCCCCCCTGATCAATACATCACATCATTAAGACTATCCTCTCTTGATAAATACTTAAAAGGCAAACTCCTTAGTTTCAGCTCCCTGTGATATAATATTACTATAAACAAAACCTTTTAAGACTAGATTACCTAATCCATCAGCCATCCTCCATAGAAACCATCCCATTTGCTTCATCCGGGGATGCTTCGATGGACGGTAATTTAAAACTTTTGAAACATTTGATTCAAGTCAACAATCAATGAACACCACAAATTACTGCGTACACACCAACCCCAGGCATTTCCTGAATGACCACTGGGCAAGCCATCATGACTGTCCAATCACCATGGCAACCAGGTGGTCATATTTATCCATTAATAAACACTCAAGGTCCAGTGACCGTAGCCAATCTAAGGACTGTTATGGCCGTCTGCAGTGTCTAACACAACAAGGGCCGGCCAGATCATCTAGTTTTATTGACAGGGAGAATGTGATTACGAATATATTGTAAAGATTCTATAGAATTCATTGTTCAAGCTACACTGGGTATTATTTAAGCGATTTCCCCGACATCTGCGGCTTTCCGCGGTAAAATGACATAACAACTGAAAATACCTCCGCTTTGAAGCTTCAGATGAATAACATGCAGCGATATGCAAATCGCTTGATGTCGGGGCATCGCTCGAAAAGCTCTGAACATCAACAATATCACTGTACCCTTGCCAAGAGTATTTTCACAGTTGTAAGCAGGCGCATTTTATTGGATAAAGATTGGTTTCTAATGACGCTTTTTCGCCACAGTCTGCTATAAGGGCTTGTGGATTGGTCAAAATCAGACACGCGGACCTAAGGCAGCCAATCATATTACGGCAATGGATACCGCGTCCTCGTGAACTAAATCTTTTAGATTTGGACAAAAGTTTTGGGTAAAATAATGCTATTCTGAACATATTAAGCAAGAAATCGCTACCAATACGTAAAATTATGGAACTTATTGGACGATCGTGCTAGGTTATGACTCCGTGACAAAATGCTTCATGTATGTATTTTCGCATTAAACATCGCGTCCTATTTAAGCGATGACCCATCAAAGGAAAACTGTGCCCGTCTGCTCTCATGCATGTTTGTAGACTGACAGACGGATGAGCCTTCAAGGAGTGAGCAGAAGACAATTTAATGCAGCCCCATTTCTTTAACCGTGACCCTTGGTTTCCTGTTTACTGAATGAGATGAAAAAGGTTTAGGACAGAGGCCACAATTGATGTGGAAATCATCAGGTGTGAAACCTGTCACCAGCAATAGGTATTTTATTGGACATGAGGTCATCTGACTTTAAAAAACGGCCATATATTTTAGTCATTGTGTAGAGGGCCAGTTATCAAAAGAAAAGTCGCACCTTGATGACACAGGATGTGAAACACATCTAGGTTACGCTGGTCGACTATGTCACTTTGTCATGCAACCACTCGGCAAATCCTTCATTTCTCCAACCATTTAAAGGTACACAGCTAAGTGACGAGAACATGATTGATTAAAGTTCAGGCAGCTTTCAGCATAAGTCATACACAGTATTACCTTGGCCTTCTGCATTTGGGAATAAAATTTTAAAAGCACCATCCTTTAGATATCAGACTATCTTCCGTTGGATGAGTGAGGGATACAGTTTGGATCTGCTTGTATAGCAGTGAGACTGAGTGCCTCGTGTATTATACACTGCTGGGGGTAGATTTGGGGTAATGAAACCTACTTGCACTCGGTGCAACCTTGGATAACAGCCTGATGCACCAGATGAAAACAGGTTGCACCTGCTGCTCAATATATAATTATATTTAATGCTTGATTAAATTATTCTGGGTCTGATAAGATCTTTTCTTACTTCGCGA